GGGGGGGAGTGTGGTGGGCGGATTAAGTGAACGTGGGGATGGGGAGCACTGGGGAGGTGCAGGGCGGGGTGGTATAGTCTAGGGGGAGGGACAGTGTGGGGTGGGTGTGTGCTGGGGGGAGTACTCGGGGAGGGGGGAGGGGGAGCACAGTGAGTGGGAGGGGGAGTACTGTGGGAGGGGCAGCACAGGGAGTGGGTGTACTGAGGGGAGGGGGAGCACAGGACAAGGAAGTTCTGGCGGGGAGGGGGAATGCGGTGAGTGAGGTGGGGTACTTGGGGGAAGTGCAGTGAGTTGAAGGGGGGAGTACTGGGTGGAGGTGGAGTGCGGGGAGGGGGAATACTGGGGGCTGAGGGGGTGATGAGTACTGGAGGGAGGGGAATGCGGGGGAGTACTGGGGGGAGGGAAAGTGCAGTGAGGGGGAGAGGCGAGTACTGGGGGGAGGGTAACCTGGGGGAGTGGGGTGTGCATGACTGGAGGGGGAGGGATGAAGGGGAGTACGGGGGTGGAATACGTGAGGAAGGGGCGAGGAGAGGTTGAGTCTGGGAAGGGGTTTATGCAGTGTAGGGGGGATGGAGACGGAGCATATGTGGAGTGAGGATTGTGGAGAGGAATAGGTGGAATGTTGCAGACTGGGGTCTGAGGGCCAAAATTGGGGACAGTTACAGAAGGATTGTGAGGAAATGGGGGAGGTGGTATGGACAGAAGAGGAAGAATGGTTGTGTTTTCATGCTTTCTGTTCTGTTAAACCGATTTTGAAGTTGGTATGTTTGAATTTGAAGTAAATTTTGGATAGGAAACTCTGGTTTGTAAATATGAAGAAAGTAATGTGTTAAGGTTGGGAATGAGGGATTCAGAAGAGGTGGCAGTGTAGAGGCATAAAGATAAAAGCTGGCCAGGGTAGGTTGGGTAATGGACTGAAGCAGGGTGAAGACTGGCAGTATAGATAATGGAAAAGTTGACTCAGATCGGAGCCAAGTATTGACTGCCAAATGTGGGAGCAGGTGGTGTGCTGGTTGAGAAAGGGGGAGCGTGGGACCAGGAATGGAACGAGGTTCAAAATACGAGTTGAATGATTGAGTCAGGGAAGAATTACAGTCAGCAGGAATAAACAGCAGTGGTGATTCAGCTTGGTTTTGGATATCTTGTTGCAGTTTTTCTTCCAGAATTGCTGCTTCAGAAACTTAATCTCTTTTTAAGGCGATGTTTAAAGCCGCAAATTGGGAAATGGAGGAAAATGTTGACTGGCTGTCACTCGTCTTGCCTGCCTTAGCTGGTGTTTATTCCTTGTGTTTCCTCTTGTGGCTTCACGTAGAAATTTTGATGTGCAACGGAGTACAAAGCAGGACCAAAAAGGAGAGGATACAGTTAAGGTGCAAATCAGCCAGGATCAAAATAAATGGGTGAAGGTGAAGCACATGTCTGTATTAATGTTTTGATTACTGATTCTGAGAAGCTCCTTGGAAGTGCTGTTATTCTGTATCTGTGTGTGTGTGTCTGTCTGTGGTGGGGGGGTAGTGCATTTGCCACGTGAGAAGGCAGAGGAGTCCCTGGTAGCAGAAGGACCGGCATTTTTTGGGTGGTGACACTCAACCTGACAAAGTTCATCTTCCTGCTGTCTGTCAGGGAGAAGCATTTTCTTTTGTTTCCCCAGCCTTGCCTCGATGCAAAGCAAAGCCATTGTGTTAAAAGTATTTGAGATGGCTGGTTTATTAAGCTACGGTCAGTTTGCTTATGGGGAAGCTAAATACACAGACACGGGAGAACGTGATCCAAGATTCTGTTGATAGACTGTGATGAAAAGGGGAAGCAGGAGACTGGTGTGGAGCATAACACCAGCATGTACAAGTGGGGCCAAATGGTTCCTGGTATTGTAAAGAGTGTGCAGTTTTGTCCGATGGAAAGTGTAGGTGTGAGTTAAGAGGCAAGAGGGGCAACGTTTTTATATGGGGTGGTTTGTGTGTGGAATGAACTGCCAGAGGAAGTGGTGGATGTGGGTACAGTTACAACATTTAGAAGATATTTGTATAAGTATGTGAATAGGAAAGGTTTAGAGGGATGTGGGCCAAACGCAGGCAAGTTGGACTAATTTAGTTTGGGAATATTGTCAGCGTGGACTTGTGGACCGAAGAGTCTGTTTCTGTGCTGAATGACTTTGATAGTAGGATGCTCAGCTGTGTTATTGTAGCCATAATATTGTTTCTCATGAACGGTTTTTAATATCTGTTATTTTGAGTACTGGTTATGATTTACTGAAATTGAAGTGGTTAATGTAAATTGCTAGAATTGACTGATTACTGAGAATGCAGTTCTCTCTCACCTTTTGGATCCTGTGCCCCTCATAAATCACTATGCGAGCACTGATTTGGATCCATGATATCAGCTACAGCATTGGTTGGTAATCTTGGTAATTATGCCTGAGTGTTCAGTTTTATTTAGAATAGTAGGCCTGGCTGTCACTCCTGTTGCCTGTCTTAGCTGGTGTTTATTCCTTGTGTTTCGTCTTGTGGCTTCCCATAGAAATGTTTGATGTGCAACGGAGTACAAAGCAGGACCAAAAAGGAGAGGATACAGTTAAGGTGCAAATCAGCCAGAATCAAAATAAATGACTGACAAGCTCAAGGGGATGAAGGGCTGCTTCCTGCTCCTCAAGAGGAGCATCAACTTTGTGCCCTTTTTAAGGGAGAATAATATCCTGAGTTAGAGGTCTGCAGGAAATGGCTGCTGAACTACAGCAAGAGAGATCAGTGGTGTGAAGGTTCAGATGGTGTTTAAAGGACAAGACTGAGAGAATTAAGTGGCATGGTATGTGAGCACGGATGGTGCAGCTAGCACTGGAAGAGTGAAGTTGCCCTGGGGAGGAGAGTGGTTTAGGTGCGCAAGAGGTAAAGTCACAGAATGCAGTTTGTTTTCTGTGGGGTGGTAAGGGCTGTGAATTCTGCAGTGATGGTGCTAGTCGAGGAGAACCTACAGAGGCGATCTCAATGAGGCCCTGGGGAGGGAGTGCCCGTAATAGCCTGAAAGAACAAAGGTGTTGGGTAATTGAGAATTGCAGCAGGTGTCTTACAGAAGCTGGAGGTCTAGTTGACTGACCAGTTAGAGAATCTGGAGACACAGAGAACAAGCACTTGTATCTTTGGACTAATGTCAATTTTCTCGTTTGACATTTCTGTAAAGTGCCTTGGGGCATCTTACTGTGTTACAGGTACTTCCATAAGCACAAGTTTCTTACTTCATTTGTTACTTATGAGAGGCTGTGGGGTTAACACCGCAATTTGTTGCTGTGTCCATGTTTCTGTGTAGAGTGTAGAACTATCACGTGTAAAGTCAGCAGGTCTTTGTGATGTCCGGGTATTACAGCTCAGCATTAATCAATTGATTATTCATAAATTCCCAGAGATTGCTCTCTCTGCCTATGGTCATTTAGCAGTGCAAATGGTGACATAACAATGTCTGAAGTTGTTGTGTCTTGACATGGTCAGTGACAAAGACTTTATGGTCACTGTTCTGCTTGTATCAGCTGCAAAGCTAACTTTATTCTCTTCACTACAATAGTGATACCATTGCCTTTTTTTGTGACTTGTGACCACTGGATGTCTCAAAGCTCTTTACAGCCAATGAGGTATTTTTGAAATGAACTCAGAATCAAGTAAGAATCATCAACTAAGAAAAAGCAAGGATGTAAAAGCTAGTCTTAATTTTGAGAGTGTCAAGGAAACCAAAGCAGGTAGTATGTCTTTCTTCTAACTAAGAGAGGTGTCCCTTTGTTGTATTTTGGAAGCGTACTCGTAATTTATCAAAGAAGTAATTTTGAACAAGGCATAATTTCAGCTTTTCTCGCAAATATCCCTCAAGTGTATCAGTGACATGATTTTGTTTGTAAGGAGTTTTGATTACAAGGCACTTCCATTGAGAAACTTATTTGTGAATTGAATCTGGATGCGTAACTGTACCAATATCGAGACTGTCCTATTGTAGGAATCTGTAGGTTTGCTGGAACCTGTTGAAGGTATTTCTGGAAGCTTCTCTGTGTGCTTTGTGTTTTGGTTTTGTTCTTTGCATGACAACAAAGCCAACGGTTATTGTCCGTTTCTAATTGCCCTTGAGAAGATGGTCAGCCACCTTGAAT